GAAAATTAACTTCCAAAGGTTTGTGATCTGTATGTATCCAAGTGGATTATAGTGGAAGTTCAGCCAGAAGTAAAGTCCTGCTGATGGCGGGGGGGGGCGGGGCGGGGGGGGGCTTATATTACTTAAAGTTACATAAAAATGTATGGATTTGTTAGCATTTTGAAATATATTTATTCCCACGGGTAGAAAAAAAATGTATGTGAATCACAAGTCTTAGGAAGTTCAAAATACTTTAGGAAAGTAAAATGTTTATAATCTTTATTTCTCCTTTGCTTAACTTCCCAGAAAAGTTCTTGTTAGTTTTTGCCATGATACAGTATATTTAGAGATTATAAATTTGATTTACTGCATTAGTTTTTATGTTGGACTTGCCTTATTATTTCATATAATTTAACATGTAATTCCAGGAAATCCAAATATTGATAGTGTTGCCATTTGGAATGTTGTAACTGAAAATATTTTGTGCTTCTGTTTCCTATGTATATTTACTTGAAAGTTATACAACCAACCAGTATTTTATATAAAATTGTACAGAATTGGGATATGTGAGAAACTTGTATAATAATCAGAAAACTATATAACAAATCACAGAATATAAATCTTCTTTAACAAATGCTATTTTCCATGCTGTCTTCTAAAATTGTTTTTGCATGAAGCTCCTTCAAATCCAACTTGTTACTGTGTATGTGTACTATATACAATCTATATATATATTTGAGAAAACAAATACTTAGTTGTCTAGAGTTAATTTCCCCCCAAAATTAAAAGATCCCATGTTCCATTTTGAGTCAAAAGATATATTTTAATTTTGTGAGCCAAATTGGATATGTATCATCTGTGTCTCATTAATCATTTATATACTGGCTTTTATTAACTCTGTTTCCATTAACACTACTAGTTTAAAATTCTGAGATCGTCCTTTTTTAGTAACTTCCTTTTCTGGTTTTCCCCAAATAAATAATAAAATTAGAACATTTGCAGAAATATATATAATATCCGAAAAGGTGTTGGGAAACCTTTATTTCAAATTTCCTTTAGCTATATTTATTAGGTATCGTTATTCAGCTTCCAGTCTCCATTCTTAAACAAGGAATAATGTATAACTTGTGAGGTAAGAAAATATAAGAGATGCATCTTAATGCTGCTTATACGTTTTAACAAAAAGTAAATCCAGTGTTGACCCATTATAGTATCATACTTCATATCCTGAAAAAGCAGACTTTTCTTCAGAAATTATGACCTCTTGTAATAATTTTAAGCCATTTTCAAATATTTCTTTTCTTCCCTCTTGACCTATTCTCTGCTATATAAATATGACTAGAAACTAATTAAATGCAAAGATTTTGTTTGGTTTTGCATTAAAGCTTCATTTAATATCGACATATCAATTCTTTTTTTCCTGTTTAGAAAAAATGATTTTGAAAGTAAGCACAATACATGATATACATATGTGTTTTTATATGTACCATAATTACATTATTCATTGATTTATCTGCCTATGTCAAGGCTGTGAGTGTGACTAATCTACACTATTCAGCATGTAAATACATATTTGTGACATTTTCTCATAAGCAAGGATAGAAAGAAATTTTGTCTTCTGATTTTATGAATTCCCAACAATTCGACAGTGACACCTGTTCAATGTATATATTTATTCCTCAGTGTATCTGATAATATTTTCTTGAAAAACTTCAGTTTGTCCTTTGGAAAGGTAAATATTTTCCTGTCCTGCAATAAAGTGTTACTTTTGTTGATTTGTCAATCAGTACAAATGAGAGTAAAATTACAATTGAGAGCCTTAACGATAGAAAGAAGTTCTGTATGTTATGCTTAACAGAGTTTGTTTTGATTTTTAGTAATGAACATGGAAGTCTGTGATAAACTATCCAAATATATATGGTTGGATTTTGGCCAAGTGGAAAACTAGCTTATGTTACATGAGTGTCATTGGTACATATCAGTATAGTTTAAAGGCCAGTAACAAGATAACTACTAAAAATATAATAGATTCTCCTTTAGCATGATAAGCATTAAAGTTTCACAGATTTATAATGAAATATTTTCCTGAAATATAATAGTGTCTATAGAAATAAAACGTAGCGGTGATTCACTAGTGATAAGCCTCATTTGAGGCTTATCATAGGAAGCTTTGTAGTTTGGGTTCAGTTTTGCTGTTCTTAATATTACATAAGTAAAACATTTCTTCCTAGGAATCAGTGACTGTAATCTTACTCTTATTTACCTATACGTAGTTCCTTCAAACCAAGGCTTATTTTTGCATAAGTTTATATTGTTAGAACTTTGTTTTCAGGTAATACTTACACACTAATATGCTCTCCTTTTTATTTAAGAATAATATATTGGACAAAATAATGTCAAAGGAGTATAGATGTGATTTTATATTAAACAATAATTTTTCACCATTGTTAATTCATAATATAGCATTGCCTTTTTTAAAACATCAGATATATTGTTTGAAAAATACTTGGTACGTCTTAACACTGGCTCATTTCAACACTGCCTTAAGTTTTGAGACTAATAAAAGTTCAGATTTAAATGTTACTATTCAACTTTTTTGTGTTGTACAGTATATTGCCCATTGATTTTCTTAACTTTTCTTAACTTTTTTTCTCCTGAAGTTACAAAATACAATTTTTATATTACAGCTGAGATGTGTAAAGGCTATTGTTCTCAGTGAATTTTTGAACTGAACTGGGTCCTTCTATTAAAAATTCTCTTGGCATACCTGAGAGACTCATTTAATACTCAAGTCTTTTAAAGTTCTGACCATATTATGAGTAGCAAAGGAACTAGTTTGTTAATGCAATCTTTTCATTACTCTAAATAATACAATTTCTCTGTGATCTGTTAATCTCTACCACGTATCCCAGAAAGCATACAGATGTAGCGTGAGAAACAGTTTCTTCTCCTTTCCTGCAGAAAATAAGTTCTATAATTATTTTTCTGGCCAGAGAATCAGGATGTACCAAAGAAAATTATGTGTGTTTAGAAAGTTGCCAAAAGCTTTGCCTGGGAGGGGATCAGCTGTTGTTTTTCTTTAAAAAGAAATTAAGTACTTTCCGAGTCCTGAACATATTCTTAGCATTACAGAGTTCATACAGCAATCTTAGATATGACAACGTAATAAAGATGTAACAAGTAAAATAGGACAAATTCTATTCATTTTATCGTCCGGACATTCATTTTTTCCCTGAAAATAATAGTAGGATACATGAAGGTTTTTCTTTTTTTTAAAGTTACATTTTACTTTATTTTTTACTTCAACTTTCTCACTGATGGGAATTCCTTTTTCTTCTTCCTTTTATACGTTACTTTTATATCCTAGGTTGTAATATCTGCATCATTCTCTAAGAATTTTGTTATATGATGATTAGTAGTTTCAAATTATGAAGTGCACTTTAAAATTATGAAACTTAAGGAAAAACTATATATTATTAACTTTTAATATCATACATTTTTTTAAAAATTCAAATAGATAAACTATTTAAAAATATCTAAGATATAAATATGCATAACAAGCTGCTATCAAAATGGCTACATTTCACTGAAAAGCACAAATATGGGAGAACCCGAATGAGGATGGACATTTAGAGTTAAGAACTTTAACCAATCATATTGTTGAATCAACCTGGTCATTGTTTGGGAATGTTGGGAGCTGTAGTTCAGTAATATGAACTGCAGATTCAGAATACTTGATAGAGCCATCATTTAAAAAACAAAACAAAACTTCAACACCCTTCCAACAATTCTATAATAATTAGTGATGTTGAGTTTTATGATAATTTCAAATATGAATCTTGAATGAAACTTTAATCCATTATATCTTGTTGAATCAACTTGGCCATTCATAGGGAATTTTGGGAGTTGTAGTTCAGTAACTTCAACTACAGATTTAGAATGCTTGATATAATTGTTTTAAAAAACACCCTTTAAACAATTCTATGATAGTGATATTGACTTAATTTTTTTATTGTATGATTTTGTTATTTGAATTACTTTTGAATTTTTTAGTATTCAGTTGCTGAGAATTTATTTCTATTTCTTGAAAATTCTGGCATCACTTTTGTGATAACATTTCTGATTTGATTTCAATCAAATCAAAAACAGACATTTTTCTTCAGGAAATACTTGTGTGAAGATATAAGTGACTTACTAAAGATTAATGTAGACAAGACAAAATTGCCTAAAGCTGGTGTATCTTTGATATGGTTATATTTCCCATAAAGAACACATTTTTTATAGACTGGAGCACTTATTAAAACATATTGTTGCAATGTTGCTAGATAGCAGTTGTGTGTTTGATTAGTGCTTTTTATCAGTCTGATAAGTTGCCTGCAGTCATTTCCATCAAATCAGGGTTTGGTTCAGGAGATTCAGGTTACAAAAATTTCCCATGTGGATTACTGCAGTATGCTAGGTGTGGTTATCTTTAAAGATTGTTCAGAAATTGCATCTTAATTCAAAATTCTGCAGCCCACTAACGTATGTAGATGAGCCATAAGAGGCAAATTACTCTTTTCTTAACACACCTGCACTGATTGCCTGTTTGCTTTCTAGACCCATTTCTAAATGCTAGGAGAGACTTTTAAAGTATTGAACATCCTGCATATATTAGGTTGTGCCTTTTCCTTACTCTGTGTTCATGTGTCACTAGTTCTGTAGGAAAGGCCTATTTTCTTTCTATCTTTCATAATCTATAAACTTTAGTTGTAGAAATGCATCAGGCTTTACTATTTTATCAACAACTAAGAAATAGGTTTTTCCCCCAGAAAGTTCTCCTAGCTATACTGTTTGAAATAAAAGCATTGTTTAATAAAATTGTTCCATTCTGTTTTTGTTTAATTTGCTGTAATATGTTTTTTTTCCAGACATTTGTTTGTGAGTTGCAATTTAGGTACTTCTATAAATTCTTTAGAATTATTAATAAATTTCCAGAGATTGTCATATAAGTACTTAAGTAAATACATTCTATTTTACAGGTGAACAAGCATTGTCACACAGCTTTGTTGAGGTCCATGTTGGCCAGGCTAATAACAACCAGAGCAGAATTTGCAGTCATTCATCCTGAGCTCTTGTTCTGATTATAGGGCCCACACTTGTTCTTCAAATGTAAGTTGGACGTGCTCCATTTGTTATATTTTCTATTAAATGTCATGTATTTTTCTTTTTTCATTTTATTATTTCAATATTTTAAACTTTGCTCTGTTAAAAAGTTGGTCTTGAATCTACATGTGGATCAGCTGTTATAACCACACATTTGTTTGTCATTTGTTAATGCCTAATCATTCAGAAATATGGTGTGTAGAAATGCTTGTTTTGCAGATGGTGAAGATACTGCTATTTATCTGTGCTTAAGTGTTGAGAAGATCAATTGGCAGAGATACAACCCTAATCCAGACTTCATTCAAGGGAAACATCTATTTAAAACTGTGGCTTTCATCCTCATATTATCAATATTTATGCTATACATGTACAAACATTAGTATTATATTTTGTATGTTTAAAAACCCAAAATTATTTTGTGGTAAAATATTTCAGTACATAGGATTGATCTATATTAATACTAGCAGTGGCTGGCTTCACAGAATATACATAATGGCTTTTATTACAGAATAATTTTATGAAAATGTTAATGGTGGCATTCTTAGATTACATTTAAAAAAATATTTATTTTTTATATTTTGAAGTTACATGTGAGTTTTTCTCCCAACAGAATTTATTAGGTATTTTCTGATTCTAGAAAATAAAATGGCTTCAATTCGTTTTTAAATTTTTGCTTATTGAGAAATCATTTTTCTATAATGGTATAGAAAATGAAAATATTTTTATTACTTTTTTACACAAATTATGTTGTAATTGCATAGTTTACACAATTAATGTAAAACAGTAATTACAATGATTGCATCCTGAACAAAATATGTATACTCTGGAGATTAGAATTAAACTGGATTTTTAAATCACCTAATCTAATGTCTTCTTCAGTGCAGGAAATCCAGACTAAAGCATATTGTATGATGTTGAGAAAGCATATCAATGGTTTACTAGAAAACCTCCAGCAAAACTGAGTCTACCTTCTTTCCCAATTGTTTGTTAAACTGCTCTTGCCATGAAGCAGGTTTTTCTACTGTTTAGTCAAAATCTATCCTTTTGTAACATAAACCATTAGACCTAGACTAATTCAGGAGCAGGTCCTTGCCCTCTACTTGTAGCAGTCTGTTATTTTCTAGGCTACTGTTTTTAGAGAAATTTCCTTCAAAGGGAAAATAGAAGATAACAGTTAAAATTGACTAGCTACGTTTAAGTGTCTCCTTTTTTATTGAATGAGGTGTCTCTTATGTAATTTTAGTACATATTTTCTAACAAAAATGTTTACAAAGTTGAAGGCCCATGAGATCGCTGCTTTTACTTTTAAAAAAGATGTAAAAGAAAAGGAACATTTTATTTTAAAGGTCTGCAATATGAATCCACATTCATTAATGCACAGCAAGCAATAGATAAAGAAGGTACATGTAATCAATCTTTTCCAAGAACAACATGTACCATCTTGTCTTAACTCTAGGTTTTTGTCTGCACCTGCTGAAAAATTGCATTTCATGTTTTGCTCATTTCTTCCTTACTGTTCTTTTTCCTAAGTAGTTTGAAAACGAATAGATCCAATAAAGAGGAAATCCAAGCTAATTATATATTAATCATAGTGTCATCAAGACATTCCTAAGTCTTCTTACATTTCTAACACTAGAGCAGAATTGGTGCAAAATCAAAGCAAAATCTGGAAGTATCCAGGATCAGATTAGCAAAAAATAAACAGGAACTTGTAATTTCTATGTCCCAGAATGTATTATACTATTGTTGCATCCTGAAATTCAGATTGGTCTTCTTTATAATTGCAAAAAACACTGGTAGATTATATTATGATATTTATAGTAAACTTCCTTCTCATCTGAGAGTTCTACTGTAGCAATTTACTTCATTGCTTCCCATTGTAACATTCCACTTATTTTTTAAATGATTAACAAGGAATGATCAAGTGGTCTTTTAACTTGTTAAACTCATTGGTTTGGAGTCTAAGATAGGAAGTAGCAACTTCTGTCTCTCTTTCAGTATTCAACTAAACAACTTATATTT